TTACACTGCTAAATTAGGGACAGCTAGCGCAGATAGCCCTCGTGTAGCTTTGCGCGAAATTCAAAACAAATAAACTATCCAGAATGCTAGCAGAAGTGGTTGTACAATTATCTTTACCAGAGGGATGAACCTCTAGTGTTGTTCTTCAATTATGTGTGATTAGTTATCCAGCTAAATGTTGTAATTGTCATCAAAATGGAAAGAAAATGGATAACAGAGTAATGGGAACCCTTGTAGAACTAGTGATCTTCCAATATCTGCAAGTGAAGCCATTGCTATGGTTAATAATCATAGATTTCGTTCTGGTGGACACTAATAAACTAAGTATTGGAGAAGAGATTGATCTCCAGCACAGTTTAAAGGTGTCAACTATAGAATGAAAGTAGTCATTTCTAATTTGGCATAGAGATCCTCATGTTTGACATACTGCGGTCTCTCTCAGTGAACTTTACCTGTGTGATGGATGAATTGATTTTCCAAAGGAGTGTCACCCAAACCCAGCCCAGCAACAAAAGACTACAGGAGTGTATGTGGCAGAGGGAATGATAGTACTTCCATGTACACAGGTGGTATTCTATGGTGTGATCCAAACAAGTTCCAATGCATCGGAGCTGGGTGACATGGTTGTAGAAGCCACACAAAAGATAAACTGTTTTCTGTCCAACAAGTGAGCAGCACTAGCGCAACAGTAATTCACCTAACATCATATGGTTGCTGGAATGACTATAGGTACAGTGAGTGAAGCATAAGTGGCCAAAGTAATTGGTAGTACTAGGGTCACACCATGACCAAAAGCAAAAACAGTGCTGAATCATCTGAGAGAACTGGTCGATGATTATGCTGACATTCTAAATCCAAAGCAGAAAAAGCAACTCAGTAAGTTGTTGGTTTAGTATGCTGATGTGTTTATGGGACCAAATGGCCAATTGGTCTGAATAATTGTAACTCAGCATCACATAGTCATAGACGATGCACTCCCGATAAATCAACCAGGACAGCTTCCTTAGAGCATAGGGGAAGTCACAAGCAATATGACACAAAAGAAGTGACTGGAGGGCATCACACAACAGCAAAAGAAGGCTGGATCATCTCAAGTCGTGATTGTCAAAAAGGAAAGTACACTGAGGCTGTGTGTGAACTTCAGATGAGTAAACATGGTGACTCTTCTCAGTACATTTCCATTACAAAGAACATATGAGTGTCTACATACATCAGAAGTCTTCCACTGTATCTATCTTCTGGTTACTGACAAGGTGAGCTGGACAATCAGAGCAGAGCAAAAATTACTTTTGGCATGAGAGATGGGCTGTATCAATGCTGTGTTATGCCATTTGGTCTGTCTAACACCCCAGCCACTTTTGAGAGGCTAATAGAGCTTACACTCAAAGGACTGCAATGGCAGAAATGCCCAGTCTATGTCAAAGATGTTTTAGTGTTTGTCCACACTTTTAAACAGCATTTAATAACCTGAGGATTGTATTTCAGCACTTCAGAAAGGCAGACCTGAAACTGAAACCTGGAAAGTGTTCACTCATGCAAACAAAAGTGGAGTGCCACTCAGATTCAGCCCAGAAACAGGAGACAGCACGAGTGTATGTGGAAAAGAAGATGATAGTATTCACATACACATAGGTGGTATTTCTTAGTATGAATTGGACAAAGTACATTCCATTGGTGCTGTTTAACATGATTATAAAAACTATCATGGAGTTTCTGGGCCAGTCATGTGCTCATGGCTCCTGAATGCAAATACTGTACGTTGAAGAAAGAGCTGCTTACTGTGGTTGTCTTCATAACCTACTTATATTGCTACTTGTATGGTAGAAAATTCACCATTTGAGTATATCATACTTTGATTAATTGGTTGATAAACTTTAAAAACCCAGAATGATGATCACACATTAGATAACAACGTTAGAAAAGTATGACTTTGTCATAGTTCATTGCCTGGGCCCACAAAACAGAAGTATGGATGGACTCTCTTGCCGCACAGTAAGAACCTGTCTGTTCAAGGATTTTCCTGATCTTGGACATCATGTGGAGAAGCATACCACTGTATCAGCCATAGCAGCAACAAGCCATAAAGTAGACAACTCTAATGATGAGTGCATTCTGAAGCTTAAACTTCAATAGTTCCAAGATGAACACTTGAATGACCCTGATTTAGCATGGATGTTCCTTGTGGCCCAGCAAGGAATAGCTCACCCAGTACACATGGTGCAGCAAAGTGCAGACTTGCAAAGCTTATGGCATTTGTATATCCAGTTATTAATACAAAAAGGTGTACTGTACCGATATTATCAGCCTGAGAGGCATGATCCTCTGGCAGTTTTACATCTAACAGTCTACAGAACTTTGTGGCAAGATAAATTCCAGACATTACACAACACTAGGACTGGAGGGCATCAAGAAATGGCACATCTTTGTTCTAACATCCAATGGCAGCTTTTCTAACCACGAGTCAGTCAGGGTATTTGGCACTAGTATGATAGCTGCACAATGTGTGATGAACAAAGGAAGAACTAGCCAAAAGAGGATACATTTCAACAGAAAGTTGCTGGATATTGGAAGTACATTTCCTCAGACTCCAAAGGCAATCACCACAATCTCATACACACACACTTTATTTTTATTTAGTGTTCTAGTAAAGATTCTTCATCACTTGGTAATAGATTTAGATTACCCCGTAATCGATATCTTGAGCAAATCTCTTGTTCTCTAGTGGACCTATCCGATATAACTTTAAACTAAAGTTAATTCACTGTCACCTGGGCCCTCCAGTGGCACAGCGATATGTCAGCGGACTTACAATGCTATAATCCGGGTTTCGATACCTGTGGTGGGCAGAGCACAGATAGCCCATTGTGTAGCTTTGTGTTTAATTACAAACAATCAAACAAACTGTCACCTGGCGCCCCCTGTGGGCTATAAACAAAACCGTCACTTGGATATACCACATTACTTTGTTATTTTCAACATTATGAAATCTCATGCTATTATACCAAATTTGTTTTTTTTTTCTGTAAATTTTATAATTAAGAAAACAAGATTGATGTTGTGTACATTTGCGCGAAATTCTGTAACAAAGATTCATTTACAAACTTTGAATAATAAAAATTGCATAATAAGCACACAATAATAACAAAATATTTTTGATGTTAGAAAAACACGTAGGTTCAAGAAGTCTTGATAGAGATGAATAAAAACCCAATAACCGCTCGGGTTATAGGGTTTTTATTCATAATAACAAAATAGATGGCGTTGGCAATGCAGTGACGTTCGCCTATAGAGCGATTTTCTTTCTTTCTAGCCTGCCATTGTTAAGTGTTTAGTCGAAGTTGTAAGTGAGTTGGTATGTAATAATTTTTAAACATATGTTAATTGTTTATGTTAGTTAGAAACTATGAAAAGTGTCGTAGGTGCACGTTAAAATTATAGTTTTACGTAAATGGTTAACAGATTTTGTGTAAATATTTAGTTTTTCCACAAAGATCGGATAGCCTAACTTACACTTACGATGAATACAAACACGTGGACCTTAGCTTAGGCCTAACTAATAATGGTTGAAGACGGCTTGAATGGGTAATGAAGAAAACTTTAATATAAGTTTAACATAACAGAAAATGTACAACGTTTCGACAAGGTTTTGTCATCATCATTTTGTCGAAACGTACATTTGCTGTTATGTTAAACTTGTATTAAAATTTTTCTTCATTACACATTCAAGCCGTCTCCAACCATTATTAGTCTCAAAGTGGGTTCCTCGTCATCAAATTAGGCCTAACTACTTTTTAAGTGATGGTTTTAGGATTGTGTATGTATTATCGGTGTAGTAGAAAGAAATGTGAAGTAAACTACTTATCTGTGAATTTCACACTATTTCGCATGTTAGCTTTATTAAAAAGCATTTAAAATTTACATGTTTTTTTTCTTTTTTAATATCTCGATATGCGGCAGTTTACATTGTTTATTAAGATAAAGTCCGTTTTAAGGAGCACATAATGGTCCATAATATTTTATGAAATATAATAAATTGTTGTAACGTTCAGAGATATATAATGGGGCTATCTCTGCTGTTCCTACACTATGTATATAAAACTCGATGTTTAAGGTCATAAGCCTTTAGACATTGCTGAATCACTTTGAGGTATAGTAAGTTATGAATCTACTTGTAAATATAATTTTTACATTACATAAAAGTGATTCATACTTTATCTAGTATATTTCAGTAGTGTCATAGAGCATGTACAACTGCAGGTACTATTTAGAAAGAAATAACAGACAATCAAAACAATAGCATATTCAATGAACTTTCAGGTGTTTTGTGGTAAATTGATGGACCAATTTTGATAAAATGTACACCACAGAATACTGAAATCATTTTACTTAAGAAAATCTGTATGTACCAATATATTTTCAAAACGAGACCAAAAACTCGAGTGCTTTCGAATAGTTGACTATTCTTCTTCAGGAGAATAAAGGGTTATGTTTAATGAGTGTGATAAAATATATAGGTTCTAATGTTGATGCTACCTAAACTGGATGTTCAATATGAGTTAGCTTTGAGAACTAGCCAATCATAACCTAGAGTTGTTTGTGTCAGGTTAAGTTTTGTGCTAATGGGGTGTGTAAAGTTCATAAAACACTTATGTGAGATAATAGTTATAAGAATTATTAACTAATTTCTATAAAGATAAAATCAGAAATAAAATTAAATAATGGCAAATGGCGGTGGGAAATGGAAAATAATGTAGCTCAATATATAGAGAGAAATTTAAGGAAGAATAATACTAATAATGTAAAGTAAGTTTAATCATGAATTTAGTTTTGAAAATCTTTTCAGAGACTTGCTAAGGTCAACAACCCCAGGATCCAATAAACTTCTTTAATTTCCCAGTTTCTGTTAGATGTAAAATTTGTCTCTATACCCATAACTTCAAGGAAGTGTCCAAGCATGTTAAAGTGTTTTGTGACTGGAAGTTCTTTATTTGTTTTTTATTATTGATTTATGGTTATTAAAACATTCCCGTATAGTTGTTTTGGTTTAACCTACATATTGGAAATTGCATTTTCGACATTGGATTAAGTAAATAACATTTTTTGTAGAGCAGGTTATGGAATTAGTGATTTTGAACTGCTTTTGATTGTCTATCAGAAAATTTGTCCATTTCCTGCATGAACATACATGTTTGCCATTGCAAGGTTAGACTTCCACCTGGTGTTGGCTTAAATTTTACTTTAGCATGAACTAAGTGTGAATGCAAAGTTTTATTCTTTCTGAAAGAAATGAAAGAACTTCTGTAAAAAATAGATTTTATTCGATCATTTAGTTGAAGGAAGTAAAAGTGTTTCTTTAGTATCCGGGATAGATTTTTTTAGTTTTGAGTGATAGGTAATAACCAGTGGAACACGAGAAGAGTTTGTCTTTGGTAATGGTTTCAAAGCTTTCTCAACTTGTTGGGTGATAGTGTTTTGTTTATAACCTCTTTCAGTCATAGTCTGTTTCAAAGAATTAATGTGACAGTCATAGCTCTTATTAACAAAGCATATCTTAAATCTAAGTGCTTGATTGAATGTGATATTGCATTTGGTGTGTGGAGGGTGACAGCTTTGATTATGTAAGTATTGTGGTTTATCCGTTGGTTTTTGGTACAAATCAGAATGTAGAACACCATCATTTAATGTTAGGTTTATATCTAAGAAGCTTATTTGGGTAGTGGTGTATATGTTTGTTATAAATATTATGACTTCACAATTACAATATTTCATTAATGTTGAAATATTGATGCAAAAATTAGTAATTAATGGATTTAATAAAGAAACATTAAATTAAATTATCAAAACATTTTGTGATAAATATAAAACGTATTAAATAAATATAAGGAATTAAAAATTAAGAAATTTTTGCTTGAAGTTTCTGATAGGTATTTTTACTTTTTAATAAAGTCATTTAAACAACTTTGCACTATTTTTATGTCAATGAACACTATAACGTGTACATGCTCAGGTAGTCTGAACATTGGTAGTTACAGTGGACTCTGTGAGTAAATTTAATGGGAAGTGGTTGGGAGTGACACTGGTTTAGATAACTTGGTTGGGTTTTTATACTAGTATAATTTGTCTACTGTATTACTAATTAACTTTACTACTATAATAGGGGCTGAAATGCCAACATCAGGATTTAAGTTTATCTTACCCTCAATGGAAGAACCTTATTTGCATTTTTCTTTTATTACTTTGCAGAGTGGTCACCTTCCCACAACTTTCTGCAGGTAGTGAAGGGTGGTGTAGATGTGGGCTTTAGCACTCACATCTTGTTCTCCTAACTGATATTTTTTGATTTTGTTTTCTTCAACATGAGAGTGGTAAACAAGTTAAGACTGATAGCTGGTGTATCCTTACTGCAACATGTGTGTGTGTGACTTCTGCAATCACAATCAAATCCCAAGCCATTTTTGTATCCTGTGTTTTAGCCTGTGCTTTGGGGATCCTTTTAATTTATACAGTGGCTTCATTTTTGTTTGGGCCTGTTTTGCTCACTAAAATGTCCATCACAGGTTTGGATTTGCTGTTTTTAACACAACTTTCCTTTTGATGTTAATTTTTATTTGACTGTTTAAGTACTAATTTGTTCCACACACACGTGTGTGTTGTTTTAGAGACAGTTTATGTACACTGTGAAAATACTGACATATTAACCCCCTTCCACACGTATCAAAGGCCATGTCATTGCGTTTGTTGACTCACATTCAAAATTTTATTAAACTACTATTTTATGATATGTCAATAAGTTTGGTATCAAACTGTAGATCATAATTCAAGTTTTAGTATTATACATTATTTAATTTCTTAACTCTTCCAACACAGAGTTGGTCAATTTGACCGAGTCACGTGAACTTTTGTGCAAAGTCTGTGTGCAAAGTAATTTTCATGTTAAAATAAAAAATACTTTTCCTCATCACAAAAATCTCAAATTTCTTTTGTAATACCTAAAACCTCCTAAATGCATTTCAAACGTTTTTTTCAGTAAAACTTAAGTTTTTCTATTATTATCTCTACCCTATCTCAATACGGGATAGGTCAACGACCTTGTAACCACCAAAAAAATAATAATTAACCTTTTTTTTTCTATATGGAATGACTTCAAATTGTAACGTGAAATTACATTAGTTTATCCTATGTAGCTCTAAGTTCGTAACATTATACATTTATTTATAATTTAATTTTATTGTTTTATTGCTATTTGAACCGTATCTAACTACTATTCGTGCCACTATAAATTGTAAATCACTTGGGGGAACGTGGCTCATGTTACACTATTGAATTACATTACCCACGAACTGTGCATGTGTGCCTCGTGAACTATTTTAATTATTATTACTTATTTTACCTAATCTAGTCTTAAATAACTTAAAAAGATCCGTATTTTTAGATTTTAGTTACTTTTATAATAATAAAGAACAAATATGAAAAACAAGAAATAAAGTACTTACCCAATCTTCTCTTTTCTTGCCCTCAATTGTTGATGAGTTAAGCCTGATTTTTTATAGTTATAGTAATGCACTTGTCAATTTGTATTGAATTAAATATTGCACCAAAGAATATAGGCTAATAACATGCAAAAAGTAGACAAATTCACTTACCTCTGAAAATTTTCCTGGCTTTCTAACTAATCGACAAGAGCCGTTACAAATTCATCCAAGTTAGTCGTTAACTTTCCCACATGAACGAATCTTGTACTATGAGTGAAATTGATGATATTCAGAAAACCTTGACTTTCTGTTGGTTATAGGTAATATATTATGAAGTGTAAGAGAGAACTATCAACAAATTGTGAAAGAGGATGTGGCAGGAGGGGTCTGATTTTCTATTTGATAGCTCTGTAACCAAACAAAATTGAAGACTAAAAATTATGGTTTGTGTGGGCAATAATGATTTTTATAGAGAATATTTTATGTTCAATTTTGTAGATTTCGAGGGGTGGTGGATAAAATGGGGATGATGACATGCTAAGACAGTGTGTCATGTATATACTATTAAAATATGGATTATTAGCTAAGATTTTATACTATTCTATTGGCATAACATAAACAAAAGGTATTTTAATAAAATTTTGAATGTAAGACGCCAAAACCTTGTGTCATGCACATTTAAGGGTACCCGGGGCAATAGGGTTAATTTAAAAGTAAATTAAAAAAAAAACGTAAACATTGATTTTTGTGTGTCACGTGTTATGTTGAATGCAGCACTGGTTCAAATTAGGTGTTTTGATGTCAAAATACAACGTATAGTTTTGTACAAATTATGAACTCAATTTACTAATATTAACAAGCTAGAATATAAAATAAGAAACTCCTGTCTTTTCTATTTGCTGAAATAATGCTTATGTGCTGAATCAAACACAGTGGCCCTGCTGACTTTTTTCCATTTTTGGAAACGCTCCTTTATATACACTTACGTTTGTCTATGACATATTAATAACCAATCAAAAGCCCAATGTCCCACTAGTGGCTTTCTCAGCCATTTTGAAGTATTCTTGACTTCACCTTGTTCTTTTGATACAAATCTTCAAGCTGAAGAGTCTTTAGTCTGCTCAAAATTATTAAGCGTGATAAACTATAGTGGAATTCTGTGGTGTTGATATAGTAATTTATGATTTTTTGGTTATTTCAAATGTATATATAAAACCTAAAAAAAAATTATCACGTCATCCACATGTGAAATTTTCTAAACATTAGCAGCCTGTGACAAACAACAAATGAGTACAAAGGTCATAACTACAACAGATAATTGTTTGCTTTATTTCTTTATTTAATGTTCTATGTTTTAAGGAAAATAAGTTTAAGTTTTGTAAATAGTAATAATGTATATTAATTGAAATGTGACTATTTTACAAAATACTAGTCCACTAAAACACAGCTAAGACAGGTCACTTTGTAAAGACTGAAGGTCGGTTTTATATTACTGGATACGGTAATATGAGTGCGCGTGCACCATATCATTGTAACTTCTGTATTGTTAATGTTAGCCAGGCATGCCTGAAAGGTCAATATTATAAGAATATTAAATGTTGTGAGATTTAAGCTATTTAGTCTAAACATTTGTGTTTTTATGTTATATGTAGTCATTCTAGAATGAAAAAGGTGTAATTTATATTTCCTAATTTTATTATGATGGTTACAAGATCCATCAAATTTACTGAACCTGTACAGGGATTTGTTAATGAAAATAACAGATGAAATAGTTTTTTCTTAAGAAATGTTTGATAACTATCTGGACATTATAAGGATTTCGCATGAGAAATTTAAAAACATTCTGATGTATAAAAGTAGTTTTCGTCTTGAAACGAAAATTAGTTTGCATGTTGGATAACAACATGTGAAAAGAATACAAAGCATGAAAAAAAACATTGCTTGATAAACCTTACGACTTAATAAAAAAATCTGATATTATGTGTATGAAAGCCTTGTAATGTTTACTTTTAACTTGTCAAATTTCGTTTACATACGTTTCCTAATTTAAAAGTTATAACATGAAAACTATAACAAGCACAAAATTGGTTAGGAGGTTGGTTCCAGGAACCGAGCCCCTGCTGAAATAGTTAAAGCAGTATTCACATGATTTGTTTCAAATGGCCTTGGTTCGGTTTGTTTTCTTTGAATGTTCTAGTTCACATTACCTTGTTTCCAAAATGTTGAGTTCATTTTCATGGTTCACTCACCAGACCTTCCAAGGATCTTTAAAGTATGTTCAAAGGAAACTCGTTTCTTTTACCAAATAGACCTCTTCTGGTGGATTCAGTTTGCTTCATTTGTCAGTAGAACTTTGTTGTTCAAACTGTTTTCCAAACAAAACAAATTGTACTGAATATAGAAAAAGCTCCAGTGTGAACAGGTCCTAAGATATTTTGGTTAGGCTTGCTTTGAAAAAAAAATTGTTTAAATATGTTTCAGTCGTATTCTCAATGAGTACCATTGTTGTTGTTTTTCTGTTAATATTTAGCTGCTTTTTTCGGTTTTTGATTTTTCCAAAAGTCTATAATAAACAAAGCAATTTGTAACTGTCTGCACACATTAACAGACATTTTGAGTTGACAAGTTCAGAGAAAATCACAAAAAATATTGAAATTCATAGTAAAAGCTGTTTCTTACAAGAATTGTCTGAGACAGGGTTATTTACATTATGCATTGTACTTTTTTCCACACCATTTACAAATCTTTACCTTTTATTTACAGATCAAAGGAGGGAAAATACATTGCAGTTAAGCTGATCAATTTAGTGTTATTTTCCATTATTAGCATTCAACTTTTTTTTATTGTGCATGTATGTGGGTTTATAGTTAGTGAAACACCGAAAAATAGACAAAATGGTGTACTTTAGTACTCCATGTATCTACGACCAAGATAAGATACTGATTTTGGAACAAATGCATTCTTACCACAATAGATTTTAATGAATATAGAATCATAATTCTCCCTCCTGTACAATCAAATGAAAGGGAAGTTTATGTGTAGTATTTAGCATCCTCTAGCACTGAGAGTGCACTTAATGACTATTCTGACTAGTATAAATGGGTATCCAAAGAATGGCAATAGAATGCTCCAGCTGTGTTGAAATAGTACTATTATCTAAAGAACAACAAAGGAAAAAAAGTTTCTGGTTTTGGAGATCATATCTACTGCTTACGAGAGTCACAAAGGAAAAGTACGTGATTATTTGGAAATCATATTTTGTATGAATCATCACCACATGGTTTACAGGAACATTCTGAAACACTTTGGCCCTACCATGGAAGTTTATCCTGATATATATTAAGGAGGCAGCAAAATCACAGGAAGTCCAAAAAGTACGAAGTATGCAGTCTTAAACTGATTTTGACAACCACATATTTTTGGATTGCCTGTGAAAAACATTACCAAAAAACAAAAACAAAATATTTCCGGTGATCAAATCAGTGTGTATGAATTAACAGTGTATTTGAAACACTGTGTGTAACATAACCTTTTACTCAGGTATTCTAGATTCATTTGACCATCCTGCTCTCATCAGCAAGGCACAAGCACTCATTGATTTTCTACATGGTTTTGGAAATTATGAACTAAAATTTTTGTACTTGGCTGAAAGTCCTGCTCATATGGAAACAATCCATAAACAGTTTGAAAGTAGTAATATAACACATGTAAAAAGGATAACAGGACTGTATGTCACAAAAGTTTATGACAAGAACTGTGTGAACTTTGGATGTGTTTCACGGCAGAAAGTAGCACTTTTGTTGTGAAAAGCATAGATTGAACATGTTTTCAAGCAGTTAAACTTCTAAGTCTTTTACCTGCTTTTGTCCAAGTACTGGTAAGTTTTATCACATTCTGTCTGTACAGATGACAATTGTGTACACAAAAGCTGAAGATAAGCATTCAGTTTTACTCTCACTACTGCAAAAAGAGAAAACTAAAAAAAACAGGAATGACAACTATGATTATACCATGGAACCAGTGCCAGACTCTTCAGAAAGTTCAATGAAGAGAAAAATTATGAAGATACAATACTAGCTGACCATATAGATAACTGTAAAAATCTTAAGCAAAATAAAAAGTAGTAGGAACATCATGGAAAATGCACTACGTTCTGCATGCATGACTCCTCCACAGGAAAGTAAACAAGTGTAGTGTGATATACCAAATTACAATGAAATACCTAAATGTGCATCACAATTATTTTGGTGATACTAGCTTCTCTGGGAAAGAAACTGGACACTGGTATTTTGTGGAAAACAATGCAACTTTCATTGAACATTGTTTTAATTCTATTCAACATTGATGTATGTAGTTTTAGATAGCACTGGTGTTTTGGTGTAGTAATCTTTTTTAGACATAATCCTTGACTAAAAAACACAAAAATGGACTCGAAATATTTAAAAGCATAATTTGCAAAAACATTTTAATAGTTTTAACTTGTCCCATTCACAGAGTAGTCATTTAGGCCATTAGAAAAATCACTGAATATGGGCAAAGTTTTATTGAATAGTTATGTTAGTTTAAGTTTGTTAAAGTAATTGATTGCATCTTGGAAACTTTTAATTATTATAATTTATTTTAGTTTTACATAAGGTAAAATCCTTAATATGGCTGCCTAATCATGTTCGTGTTTTCACTTATCTGTGCTTATTTATTGAGGAATCAATGAAGAATATTGAAAAGTTGTTGGGATAGCTTTTGCTAATTTTTAAATGAATGTTACATATATGTGCCGTTTTTGCTAGTGCGTGAATAAGGTGAAGTTTGGCAAGCGTGGTATGGAAAATTTAATTATTTAGGATAAACTAAAAACATTTAAGTAAAGCATCTACGCTTGGCAAGACATAAACTTGTGTTAGACATTATGAGGAATTTTTTAAAATCTTGATGACTACGTGCATGAATATATATAAAAAAAAAAGCATACCAAGCTTGTTGAGTTACAAAAAATATTCTTAGTATATAATATCAGAGATCATTTACATCTTTGATTCGTGTTGTAAATTATTATATCATATAAATTCACAATTTTATTGTTTAGTACTATACTTCAATTGTTTCTAGCTTGGATTTAGAATAACATAAGCTTCTAGTAAATTAAAGTATACAAATATTCTAAAAATATACTGAAAATCTGTTTGCATCTTGTTTTAATGTGTTTACATTACAAAGGAAACTAAGTGCAAGCATTACTCAGTTAAAGTATTGTGAACTTAGAATGACCATAATAAATATTTAAATTTTCAGTTGACTTGAATACGAATTTTTTATTAATGTTTAAGTGTTTTAGAAAATAATTAAATTTATTGTTGGAAAGGATTGCAATTATTGGTATAACATAATTGCTTGATGAACAAATTTAAAACATCTTTGAGCATTAATTTCTTCTTATTGCAGGAAATTTATAAACAATGACCAATCCTAAAGGTTACAGACGAGGAACTCGATACCTTTTCTCCAGAGGGTTTAAAAAGAAAGGACTTGAACCTCTTTCTACATTCTTGAAAGTCTATAAACGAGGAGATATTGTTGATATAAAGGTATGCTTTGAAGAAAGTCATATGTTATGAGATGATTACATATAACTACTGACCTCTGCATGTGTGTATTTATACAAATACAGTGACTGTTGGAGTACAGTTTTGCTATGAAATGTGTTTAAATAGTTCTATATTATTCCTTCAGTAACTGTGTAACCCTTTTGTTGTCAAAGAGTGAGTGTCATTTTAGAAGTGTTATTTTCCAAATTTTATTGAATAACTTTACTATTACTTATGTCAATGAAATTGACATCAAAAGTTTATAATTCAAATTTTGATGTTATACATGTTTTAATTTCTTAATTTAAAAAGAAATGTAAAGAAAAAACATTTAAATATCAATTTTTGTGTCATACAGAACCTCCTATTGCCTTATTGCTCTGTTTATAATTTATTATGCCTACCCTACAATGTATGAAGTGGTTAACAAATTAGAAACTCAAATTGGTGATATAGACAAGTTGCCTAGGTATCCATATACTTATCCAATTTAGTAAGTTTCACTCCTCCCATTACTCCATTCTTTCAAAACTTCTTATATAGTTCCACCTTTCTTTTGACTAAAAGTTTATAACCAATAGAAAGGGCATTTTCTTTTTTACATAAATCTTTTTTTTATAGCCATTTGTAAATAGCTTGAAGGATAAAATCATTTCACCAAACTGTTGAAATGTGATGACTTAAGTTGTTGCTCTGAAGAGAAATGGGTTTTTTAAAACTCATATATAGCTTGTTTAGAAGCCCAAATAAATTACAGGGATTTTGTGTGCACTAATATAGTAACTTGATTTTTTTTCTAATAAATATATATATATATATATATATATATGAAGGGTACAAAAATTAATAGCTCTTCACATTCCACTCGGAAGAATAAAAGAATCTTACGGAAAGGCTTAACATATGTGAAGCTTGAGCACAAAGTCTCATAACCACCATAAGTACTCAGTCTTTGTTTTTTGAAGTATCTTTTATTTATTCTTCTACATTTTTAGCATTTGTGAATAAATAACTATGTATATACACATGTAATGTATAATAGCCAAAATTTCACTATATTTTGCAAATTACTAACATACTGGTTTTATAGTTAGATTTGTACTTTGTAGGCCTATATAGTTATGCTACTGAACTTGTATTATTTTTCTAATTGCCTAAATTGAGGTAAAATAAAAGCAAATTATGTAACATTAGAATCTTGACAACTTAGAAAAAAAGGTTTATTCATAACATTTTAGAAAGATTCAATACTTTACAAATATCAATTTGACTGACCTCTAACCACCATAAGAAATTAGGAAATAAATATAAATTATGCATTTTTTGTTCTAGAACAACTACAAAGTATAACATGAAAACACATGTTTAGTCTAAATAACTTAAATCTCATAACATTATACATTTGTATATATTTATTATTTTTATTATATTGACCTTACAGCCATGCGTGGCTAACAGTACAGAAGTTACAATGATGCTGCGCATGTGCACTCATGTTATAGTATCCAATAATATACAAATGGACCTTTAGTCTTTACAAAATGACCTGTGTTTTAGTGGACCAGTATTTTGTAAAATATTCAATTATTATAGATTATCACTATTTACAAACAAGTTCTTAAACTTATTTTTCTTAAAACATAGAACAATAAAGGAAGAAATAAAGCAAACGATTATCTCTTCTTGTTGCATCCTTTGTACTCGGTTAATACTTCTTGTAGATTGCTAAGCCTTAAGAAATTTTGCAAATGGAGGATGCGAAACAAAATAATTGTTTTTAGGTTTTACATATACGTTTGAATAACCAAAAAAGCATAAATTACTATATTGATATCATAGAATTCCATTATAATTTATCAAGTTTAGTAACTAAACTTTATTTTAATCTTAAAAAATATGAAATTTTCAAGGAGGCTAAAGACACTACCTACCTTTGTTGAAGTATTGGGGCAAAAGAAAAAAATGGCCTCCTAAGAATTTAAAATTGCTCAAAGCCACTAGGGAGACATTTTGAGCTTCCGATTGGTTATTCATGTCATATATAGAAGTAAGTGTATATAAGGGGGCATTTCCAAAAATGGAAATAGGTGGGTGGTGTGCCACTGTGTTTGATTCAGTACATGAATGATATCTTGGCAAATAGAAAAGATGGGAGGTTCTTATTTTATATTCTAGCTTATTAATATTGGTAATTTGATTTCCTAATTTGTACAAAACTATGGACTTTGTATTTTGACATCACAAACGTAATTTGAACCAGTGCTGCTTACAACATACCACATGACACACAAAAATTGATGTTTTAAGTTTTTTAATATTTACTTCTAAATTAAGAAATTGAATAATGTATAATACTAAAATTTGAATTATAATCTACAGTTTGATACCAAACATATTGACATAAATTCATAAAATAGTTCAATAATATTTTGAATGGAAGTCAACAAACACAACATTCTCTTTGACCCATAACAATAGGGTTAATGACACAAGTGGTGATTTGTTGCTTTATTTTCAGCAGATTTCTACTTCAGTCATTAACAGTGAAATAAACACATAAAATGTGAAATGTTTAACAGTCCAAACTCAAAACAAATACTTAGAAATAAAAAGAAGAGCTGTGCCCTATTTTCTTGATTATTGTTTACAAAATTTCAGATTTTACAACTTTTCATTATACTTTGATTATTTCTACTGGCTGAAAAATAGAATATACTGTTGGGTAGAGGTAATAACAGATAAAATATAAAGTTTTATATTTACTTAGGAAGTTTAAGCAATTGCGCAAATTAAGTTTGAGATTTTTGAGACAAAGAAAAGTATTTGTAATCTTAACATAAAAACCACTTTGCTTTTTGACAAGTCAAAAAGAATTTGATTTATTCATGGACAAATTGTTAGTAAACATACTTCATTAAAAAAACTGATTTTTGTGTACAAACAACTAACTCTGCTGAATTTTGTGAAGATACACATACTGGTTACAGGGTCGTTCCTTGGGACTGAGTCCATACTGAAAGAGTTAATACTGAGTTGTAGACAAACACTTGTAGTAACAGTAGTAAATGTAACACAGTTCAAACATGTATTTGTATGAGGTGACAGCAATATTCTTTTTTACCAACCCATGGAATGGATCATTACAGTGGCCTTCAAATAATTTTAATATTTAGATTAGTTAATTCTTTTGCTGTTAAAAAATATATGTATAGTAAAAACCTGTAATCTAGTTGCACCTCTTCGTGGAAACCCAATTATTACTTTCCATCCAGTTATCTACTGTTAAAAGGGTTTTTATGATTTGTTATATATTTCCTGAAAAGACAAATTAAATTTTTTTCAATTGGTTGTAATGGGAACTTGTTAGCTACCAAGATTATTTCTTGGCTGCCAAAAAACATAGTACATGGTTTCTGCTTAGTCTTTTGGTGTATGTACTGCACTGATGTAATTAACATTCATTTTACTAAAATAAAGCTGTTTAAGCTCCTTTATTTAACTATTTCTCATTATCACTACTACTAATGATATTTAATAGTTTTACCCTCAAAAAATTACACAAAAAGAATAATATAAGATGATTTAGATCTAAAAAAGATAAGTAGTTTTAGAGTTTGAGAAAATGCTACACTAAGTAAAAGATGTACTGTGTATGTTGTACATGGATTTACTTTTCTTTGTTTTACATGTCTTTTAACTTTATTACAGGGAAATGGAGCTTTCCAGAAGGGAATGCCTCACAAATTCTATCATGGAAAGACTGGTCGAGTGTTTAATGTGACACCTCATGCTGTTGGAGTGATAGTCAATAAACGTGTCAGGTATGATAAGTAGAATAAGAAAAATGCCCCCGCTCCCCTCTAGGCATGCATGTCTCATCACAGTTCTATTCACAAAGTAGACATGATGTGTTTGTTTGCTATGCAATAAAAGATACGTGATTCATTCTACAACATATAACACTTATTTTCTTATCAGGCAGTACCAACTTGGATAATATATTTTTAGGAATGGCAAGTTTAAAGCAAAAATAGGTAGTTCTAACTTTGAAATGGAATCTATTTATTTATTCTAGTTGCACATAATAACATCTTATTTAATTTGGTGTTTCAGTTATTCTGGAATTTCGTTTATCCTGGAGCAATGCGATAAACTGGGTTCCATTGTATTTATTCATTAGTCAGTACCAACAGTTTTAGCAAATTATGTTCTATTAACTCTTTCAATACTATTGGGTTAAACAATGAATGACATTTTAATGTGTGTCAGTAAACTTGGCATAAAAACAGGTTGCTCCAGTTTTAAACTAATTAGAAACAAACTATATATGATTAAAAGCAATAATCATAAATTTGAACCTCCTACTTTCTTGATTTGCTTAGACATCAATAGATTTGGTACCCACAAACAAAGCCCCTTTTTTCTTTCTCTGACTTCAGATTGTTTGATAATCAACTTTACAAGGCTGAGGAATATGTTAATAACTAGTAGAATGAGCACACTGTCCCATGTGTAAATCTTGCAATTCTGTATTCAGTTTTCTTGCTGTAAGCTGTTAGTAAATGAGAATTCCTTGGTTTGTGTTGATCAGACTTGATGCTCTAAAGCTTTATTTAGAAAGCTAGGTAAATTATAGTAGTTTTGTGACATTCTATTCTAGTGACTAAAATCTATAATTAAAAGCTACATGAACTTATTAGCTCACCCAAATTTGTGAGATTTGTGATGCTCAAAGGAGGACATCAGATTTTTTATTCAAGTGCAAATGGCTCAAGTATGCAGTTTTTTGTGTAATTTTTAATTTATTGTTATATATATATATATTTTTTTTGACAAAAGTAAATTGTAAAATTTATAAATTTCTTAGCTTAACAAAACAGTAAATCAAAATTTTAATAGCTCCAACACAATGTGAAACACACTTGGATCACCTGTTGTTTAAGTTAACTCTATGGGAAACAGTTAATGGGCTCCTTCTGCAAAGTACAATAATAAAACCAAAACATTGAAAGAAAACAAATGTAAAAAGGTTTACAGTTGAAAGAACTTGGAACTTTCTGATCAATACTGCAGGTAGTACATAGGAAGAAATGATATTATTACATATTTTATAACTTATTTTGAATAAGAGAAATCTTTTCATGTTCCTTAAGGAAGTCATAAATGAAATATGAAACTGTGAGATGAAAATAAATATTCTTAGTATGAAGATCACTTCTCACTTAATCGAGGAAACATTTAGTAGAAATGCTTTATTAAAATTTTTTTTCAATAATACAATGTTTGATAAACTCTTGCAATATTACTTTTAAGATACACTTGATAAATTTAGTGTTATAGTATGTATAGTTTAAGAGTTCCAAGGTTTGACAAATTTCATACTACAAGGTTAAAGGAAAGTGAATTAATTACATTGGGTATAATAATAATAATAATGAAAATGTACATCATTTTTAGGGCATTGACGTGATGAAATACTGAACAATGAAAATGTATAAGTAATGGAGATGAAATTGCAGACAATAATTTATTTTTTATAATTGTTTAGTGCAAAATGATAGTTTTTGCAATAGAATTGTGTTTCTAAATAACTACATTTTTGATTTGACACTACTTTTATTTTGCCTTTAAAAAACGAACTTAGGACCTTTAAATGTTTTCTTGAAAGTATTTAAACATTTATTATTAACAATGTTAGATTAACTTCTTTTGGTCCCACCATCACCCCGACCACTTTCAAACACGGGTACTCTAATATCAAGATGGAATGGTTAGTTTTCTATTTGGTATTAGGTCAGTTTTTAAACATACAGTATGTACTATTTTTTGGACAGATTTGGTGAAATAATGCTGGATCACAATGGTAATTAAATAAAATCCCACCATCACCCCAACCACTTTCCAACACGGGTACTCTAATATCAGAGATGAAAGTCTTCCGGATATATCCGGAAATACGGATATTTCTAAAAAATCCTGAAAACCTCCGGTTTTTTCTGGAGAAACACATTTTTTAAAATTATTTATCGGATTTTGGTGTTCCATGCCACAGATAAGCGTTTATGCAATCGCGCGGTTTGTTTACATTCGGCGACAGGGCGCCGCCATTTTGTAGTCTCGCAATGCTTGCTGGCGTGTACGAGACCTTGTATGCTTATAATGCAAACTTCGTGTCATGTGAACGAGATTTTATCTCAAACGTGCTTTAGAAAACGCAGTCATTCTTTTGTGTACCTTTCTATTGAGCGAAACAATTGAAGAACCTTAACTATTCAAAGGTGTTTACCGAAGCAATAATAGATCAAATGAAATGTACAAACAAGTAGATAGGTCGGCGGATATCCGTAGCATAGAAGGAAAGGTAAAGAACGAGTTCAAATGGTCATGGCTGGAGGAAAAGGATGTAAATGGTGACTTTTTATCGGACTTTGTGAGGAAAGTGGACAGGCCAGGATATGCAGTATGCACGTAATAGATCTATAAAGTAAAATTTACTAACCTAGTCATCGCGTTCCGGCTACTAACTTTCTTAGTAGGCAATGCAAGTCTTGCTATGATGAATTCAATTCATTCATATCAGGTGATGACAAAACCATGATACAATTTTTTGGGGATTTCAAAATAATGTACTAAAACATTAAAAGTAATAAGTTCAAATCTGTAGCAAATATAAATATTGTAATCATTTCTTATAAATACGATTTCCTAATATAATTTTCCAAGATATTAAAGATTATAATGCAAAAAAACCAAATTTATTAAAAGTAATAGGCTTTATATTTCTTAAACTACCTACATATGTCAAAGTACTTATGAATTTTCGAAAATATTCGTCCACTAGTTTTATTGTTGGAATGAAATATAGCAAGACTTGTAATGGCTGGAGACGGCTTGAATGGGTAATGAAGAAAAACTTTAATATAAGTTTAACATAACAGCAAATGTACAACGTTTCGACAATGCATTTTATGGAAATTTTATCTATTTTTAA